CCGGCGCCCAGTTGCCCCTGGTACTGCCTCGGTCTCCCGAGGCGGCCGCCGGCCCGGAGGAGGGGGAGGGAGAGCCGGGCGCCCCACGCCTCCCCGGTCCCCGGCCGATGTGTATTTATGAACTCGATTAACGGCGCCCTCACCGCACACACAAAGCCCTTTCTTCTCCTGGGAAGGGACGGGGTGGGGGAGGGAGGGCCTCGCAGATCGGAACGCTCTTTTTTCCCCCAAGCACAGAAGTTTTAGTTTGAAAGCGAGCTGAATCTCTGACATGTGTCTTGACACAGTTTTTGTGGTGATTTACATTCACGTGGGCCACACATTTTCTGGGAAAACCTAGACCAACGGCCTGAAAGATTCCAGCGCCAATAGTGAAAAAATAAACGCCACGGGCGTGCGCGGGTGTCAGGGTAACCGTGGACCGCGCTCGCGTCCGGGGAACTTGCCGTGAGACTCTACTTCCTTAAAAGTCACGCTGAGAGAAGTATCAGGACAAACCTCTTCCTAGTCACTTGGCAAGAAGAACTTTCCGAGTTTGATAGGGCAGCGCTCCGTGTCAGTCGGTTTAAAGGGTTGCAGAAAGGCTCCTGAACCCTCAGTAATTTGTGAGACTTTGTATTTTTAAAAAGTTTATTGAAGTTTGCACAAGGGGTGGTTTTGCTTCTCCGCAGCCTCTGGGCATTCAGTTCCCCTGCCTTTGGAATTAATTCATAGTTGAAGTTCTGATGATCGTGGGTGCATGCGTTCCCCGTGTTTCCTAAAGGGGAATTCATTCTCATGCACGTAGGATTTGCTGGGCAGTAAGTGAAGCCTTCAGTTGATGGTATTCGCCGGGCAATCTCGGATAAGTCGATTTGCAAAATACCTGCGACCAAGACCCGTGTATTTCTTAAGTTAAGAAGCACAAAAGAAAAAGAAAAGGCAATTGGAAATGAATGAAGAGAGCATTTTATTCTTTTGTTATATTGTCATATTGCAAAAATATCCCAATATCTTCTCCACGAAGACACAGCATCTGTTTCTACTGCCAAGCTCTAAATAAAATATTTACATTAAAAACAAAGATTTAGCTTCCATTTTCTGTGTGGGCACGGAACACAGTGGTGTTCTCCTCTCTCAGCTGCTTGGATGACTCCCAGAACAGCAAATGGCCTCAGGTGGGCTGGCTGAGCTTTGGGGGTGAGAAGCTGAAGACAGGAATAAAAACAGTACAGTCCTTACCAAAGAGCTGGTTTGTTTTTCTTCAGGGTATGCATTTACCTGGAAAAATACATATTTAGACGAGCCATGTCAGATGAGTAATTACGATATTAGTAGTGGTTTTGGAGAAGTAGAGTGGCATTCTAGGTGGCTCTTGTTAAGTATCTTGCCTTTTCTTCACTGTTTTCACTTCCCCGTGTCTTCCTGGAAGGGTCTCCCTTTTTTTTTTTTTTTTTTTTAAATGGGTTTTAGGAGTCTTCTGAGTGTGTGGATTCTCTACATTATATTGTTTGGAAGGTCACACTCGGATCATAGAGAAACCAAGGAGGTGTTACTATGACAGATATTCTGGCATCACCATAATAATAAGCAAGAAGCAACGCTTTGCTACCAGCAGGCATAGAAAGGCAGACTTGATTTGAGTTTCTTCTTCTATGAAGAACTGATTAGTAGTGTGCTCACTAAAATAAAAATTCTCATCCTATTAGATGAGTGACAGTGTTTCAAAACCTCACAGATTACTTTATACCAACTTGGAGGAGGCATTGGAAACCATGAAAATGCAATGTGCCCTTCTAAATAAAACATGAAGTCCTGCCTTCAGTTTCCAACTTGTCTCCTACATCCATACTATTTCTTTAACAAAAAAGGTTTAAAAGATATTTCTGATATGGCTGTCACATTTGATACCATAATTTGCAACTTATATCTTAGGGGGGTAGTTTACATAAGGCAGGTAAAAGCATTAAAACAATATGACAGTTAAGTTTGGAGTTTTTGTTTTCAACCAAATGCTTAAAAATAAGGTCTACCAGGAAATTCTACTAATAGTTGAATTTGTTTTGTGTATTCTCATAAATTTAGTATTTTGAATGAAGAATTAGATTTACTTAAAAATTAGGCAAGGTTTTCTGTTTGTAGCAAACTTTAATGTAATCGTTCTAATAACCCACCTCCCTGAGAGTGGGTGCCAGATTTCTGGATGCAGTGGCGCATGCCCTTCTTGGTCTCCTTACCTCCTCTAAAGTGCATGGAAACTGCTAAACACCAAAAGATTCATTTCTCCATTTGTGAAAACTGTGAACTATATTTTGAAACGTGAAACTCTTATACCCCTCTACCTCTCAAAGTCCGTCAGCCCACTGAGTCGTGAAACTTACTCCTCCGTCCTTACGCTACGAAATCTTCAGAATAACCCTTTCTGTTTAATGAAAGAGAGTTACAGCCAGTCTTCAGAGGCAAGGATGGTCAGACAATTAAACGAGTCACCCATTCTATCCCATTTGTGTTACTTGGAAATTTATCTCCATTCGTTAGAGTAGACCTGGTATTTGAGTAGATCACCTGACTGAACAGAGTTCTGCTGGCAGCATGTTTTTCGAGGCAGCAAATCAGTTGCATCAAATTGGTCAATTGTGACCTATTTCTGTTTTTCTTGCTGGCTCTTTAGTCTATTTCTTGTGGTGCTTCTCTGATGGAAGTTTTTCGGCCATTTTACCTGATAAAAACAGGGTCTTTCTTTCTTTCTTTCTTTTTGAAATTTACTCTAAAAAGCACTATAAGAAGGAAAAAGTGGTCCACTACATGAAGGTGTGATATATTCAGCAAGAGCCAAGTTATAAAGCTGGAAGGAGAGAGGCGAGCACTTAGACATTTAAATGGCCAAGTTAAACACAAGACACAGTTAGGATATCTGGACCCTCAGGTGTTCATAAACCTGTACCAGGGGCCTCTAGAGAGAAATGGTGGGAACCAGGGAGAAAGAGAGCCCCCAAATTACCTTGTTTAACTTGGCTGTCACAGTAGCTAACCCTTTGTAACTTGGCACATTTTGAAGTTATCACACTTAATGATTGACCTTGTTCCTTTTTCCCATTTACCTTCTTTTGTACTTATAATGCTTTTTTTTTTAAAGAAGTAATTTATTAGAAATATAATTAAGTGGCAAAAATGTAGCCCTCAATTTAAAGAAGAAAGGTAAACTATAGAGTTTGAATGAAAAGGCAGTGGATTTTAAGTCCATAACCTTTTGAAAGTCAGAAAACCTATCTATTAGGTTGTATTTTCTACTGGAAAGGCTCTCAAAATGGTAGGTGTTAAAAAAACCATCTCAGGGAGCTTGAACTAGCCCCTAAACGGAATAGAAATGTTAAACTCTCTCGTCCTTACTTAAACACATTTCCCCCCGTTTTTCAAAGACAAAATATATTTTCTTATAGGTAGACAGGTGAAATATGTATATTAAAAAAAGTGTGGTTCTCTTATACTCCATGTGTTGCAGTTCTTAAAAAAAAAAAAAACAAAAAACCTTACCACTAGAGATTCAGTTTGGGTTTTGGAAATGATGCCATAGAAAGAAAAAAAAAAAAGTCCTGAATTTTATGTGAAAAGACAGTTGCATTAAGACAGTATTATAGTTTGCTTTTAATTAAAACTTACTATGTAGCTTTTCCCTCAAAATTCTTTTTGGATAAGCTAAACATGACTACCTTTTTTAATAACTAAGGTGAGTTTTAAAAAATATT